GATCATCAATCGGTTCGTATTATAAGTCCCTGCGATAGTACAAGATTACACTATCTCCTGCTGGGACGATCGCGTTGGAAAGGTAAAATTCCCTGAATCTCGATCACTAACCTATGGGTGTAACCAAGCCTTGCTTGCGGAGATGAAATCCGAAGCGTTTGTTTCCTGACGAAACCGAAGTTAGGCAAGTTTTCTGAGAAGGTCTTAGGCATTAGTTTACACGCAAGAAAGTGTTTTGGCTCCCAGCAGTGACTCTAAAGATGTGTTTCAAATGAGTGATTGTTCAGACCGTCCATCTGGTAATTCAATTTGCACAACCATAGGAAATTGATCACATGACTGCATGGGAAGATTCTCACTTTTTCAGACCTACTTCTTATGTGAAGTGGGGTCCTTACTTCGGACGACAGTGTTGGTTGCTGCCTTCAACCGGATCCCTGCTGGCAGTCTGTTCACAAGTGACTGCCAGTGTTCCAGTAACCTAAGTGCCATCTGCCGATGGTGAAGCACAACCTTCGTTATCTAGGGCCGTACTCTTTGTAATTTAGTGACTATGGCATCCTACAGAGAGAAACAATTATAACATCATTCAAGAGCAGGGTCTTATGAATATAGCGCAAATGCTCCTGGTCGTATGCCTTTACTTCGAATTCATCGTGCTCATGAGATTGGTGGACAAAAAGGGTTCTGGTTATGGTGCATAGGTGGAACTCATTTAAGCTCTGCTTTGCTTGCTTGCGTTCGTTTGGTAGGACGTCTAGAAAAACGCGGATCGAACAGGATCCGTTCTGTAGAGGAGCTGTCTAAAGCAACACTGCTTCCACCTCATGGACAGACTCTAGCACCACTTGGAGAAGCCTGGCTTCCCTGTAATAATTGGAAGTCGAGTGACCCTGCTCAGATTAGTGAACTTAGTCGCAATACAAGCAGATTTCTTATGGTGTTCCATTTGGTTCAGGTCGTCCATCTGCCTCCCTTTCATGGAACGCGATGCTGATGCTGGAACGATGGTACATATAATGGACAGTTCATCCCTTATTTTCTGAATGTCTTTCGAACATAACGGCTTGGTCGCTGCGATTTTCCTGGTCGGCTCGAGCGATACGGTCGCCACGAACGGTAGGATCACCGCCTAACTTTACTCCGAACGAGACGGAACACACTTGCCGGTACTCGCGAACTAGATGGATCGCACTAGTCGATACTCACACTGTGTATCGGTTGCTATCCCCAGACCCAACCCCGAGAGGAGAAGACTGGTCTTCAGCAGAGTACTTTTGTGAATCAGCGGAAATGCGAGTACATGGCTGTACAGCCCAAATTTTATACAGAGGCTGGCGACATAGACTGCGGAGGCGAATAAATGGAAAAGGTAAAGACTAAGATCCCAGTAATCGTGGGTGTGTATGTGAAAAGAAAAGGTGCATGCATTGTGTAGGTGTGTCGAAGCAAATGAAAGGTGGGTGAGTCAGATATAAGCGTTGGTGTGTCTGGATCGTGAACTCACAAAAGTGCGACGTCTGGATGACTACCTGTGCGACCTTTCTGGGGGACAAGTGGTCCTCATATCACTTTCAAAAGAATACCGGTCGCGGTTAAGAGACTGACGATTTGGTGCGTGCCAGTGCCGCGTCGCCTTTTCCATTATTTTTGGGTATTGTAGTAGAAACTGCCGCTGCTGATTTTGGAGCGCTCTTGTATGCAACTACAGTCCAGCTCAGTGACTTTGGCCTCTTTTCTGAGGTCCGGCGAAGCCTAGTGATAGGAATTGTGCTTGGGGGTAAATTATTGCAAATAGGCGAGAGGCGAATGGTTCGTAAACGCTTCGACGATTCGAAGAGGTGGCGGTGTTATCAGGAGTCACTTTGTTAGTATAACCCTCGGCATTGTGGATTTGGATTGCAGTGAAGTTCGCTGGTGAGACCTGAGTCATACACACTGCTTTGATTTTTTTACCAAAGCTATTTTGGTGCTCAATCTTTGCTCGACCATTTCTACCAGCCTCACATACTTCTGGAACAATGCACTTACGGTCTTAACCAAGGGGAAATTATCACACTGCAGGCAGAACCAAAATAAGTCTGGCCTGCTGATGAATAGCTTAAACTCGCTTGGTTTGGTGTTCTCGCATTTGGCATGGAAACAAGTAAAGCAGTTAGAACACGAAGGTCCTATTTTGACCAACTTATTGCGTCTGAAAACAAGGTGGGTCGGTTACTTGCGCCCATCAGGTCGCGTAAAATTTGTCTTAACAGTTAGTCTGTCCGGGACCCTAGATTGATCGTTCTGGCGACAAGGACAGTTTGCCGAAACAAACGACTGTCTAACTTTCGCTCGCAGCTGCGCGCAAATCACCGTACCCAGAGATTGGTAGTCTCCTAGCTGCGTGCACACGCCCACATGGGGAAGCGGTGCATATTGATCGGCTTGCGCTAGGCGACGACGGTAGCGCTGACACGCGTCCTTAAGTACCACGGACTCTATGTCTAGTGGATGAGCGACACAAAATGTCCCGCAGCTTTGGTATGCTGCAGAAATGGTTGCAGTGTAGTTTGCGAGTCATTAGCAGCTCCTTCCCAATGAGATAAGAACATTTCACGAACAGCTCAGGTTTGGTGTAATTGCGCGCATAGATATTGGCAAAAATGTGAAAACGTGCGCAATAGCATGATCTACACATGTTAGATCTAAGAGGTGAGAAGCACTGAGTAGCCTTCGGTTCGAAAGACCGCACGCGCAAGAATGGGTAAGGAGAATTAGAATGGCCACCGCGGGTAAAGCCAAAGCCGAGAGAGTGCGGCCCTACGGCGCGTGTGAACAGAGTGGAGCGCATTAACTTTGCGACCGCGAGGCGACACAGGATAGTCGGTGGCATTGTTCATTGACTTCACCGTCGCAGATACGTTTTTGCCGCTACATCCGAGAAATCCTTCTCCCTGACCCATTGTCAAAGGCCGAGAGTGGGCGCATGTCATCCCCGAGTCGCTTCCATGTAGTAACACTGCCAGAAGTAATAAACCTCTATCACGTGCGCGATACGGAAGTTTGTGATTGCGAACCTTATACCGCCAGCGCACCGAATAATGGATATCCGAAGAGTCGGTAAGCTTGCTGTTATCAAAGAGCAGGTTCTGCTGGTACTGAGCACAACGTTGCCAGACTGGCTACCACATCACTTTGAAACAGTCTGTGAGCTTGTGCTTTTAGAGCCTGGGAAAAGTAAGATGCAGAGGCGGCGAGTAATTTGTGCAGAACGCTTCAACTTAGCCCGTCACTGGTCTCATGAAACCAGACATTGCCTGGTTGGTAGAAAGTAGTGCTTTCGGTCAAATTCCTACCATTGGGCTGATTGATACTAGGTATTTATAAGCGACAAAATTTGCTTGGAAGGTTCGAGTGACGCGTTTCCTCCGGGATCAAAGGAACAACAAGTCCGGAACTGGATAACGGCGCTAGTTACAAATGAATAAATGACCATATACAGTAAATACCTCAACGATGACGCTTCCAAACTGAGAACAGCTACAATGACTATCGTTTCAGCTTGAGTCAACAAGTCTAGCGTCAAAGCGCCCGGTGTACGAATCACTGCACAGGTGCACAATGTGTTTGTAGGACAGGTAAAGCTGTAGGATCATGCAGATGGATGAAGCCTGTTTGGAGCGCACACCAACTGAGTCACACATGCTCAGACACAGAGGAGGGAAAAGGCATACAGCCATAATTGTTGGTGAACGAAGGCCACCAAACAATCAGAATTGGTGCTGAAGATAGCGCTGACAGAAAACCATAAACAATGTGAAATGAAAGTGCGGGGGAAAGTTGAATTCGTGAAAATGCAAAGTAGTAACAATTTTAGGAAGCGTAAGAAAAAATGGATCAAGGAGCCTGGGTTTCACGACGTAATGGGGAGGTCTAGTCAAAATATTTGGTAGGGGAATTGAATATGAAGTGGAATTGTGATTGCGACGTCCGAATGTTTTCTACTATACTTACTCGCCTTGCCAAAGCGCGATCCAACCAAATCGGAATTTCGGGAGGCGTTTGACATACTCAGCCTTTCAGATACTGACGATCAGAACAATCATGTGGTCCCACCAGTCAAGAGTGGCACAGAGACCGTCAGTAGGAAGCTGAGCAACCTACTGGAACACATTAGTGAGGAGCATCCAACCTCGCTTTGTCGAGAATAAAATATGTATTTATTCATTTATTTATTCGGAACAAACAGTGATAACGGGAGAAAAAGAAGACCTAGAATAAAACCTTAGTGCCATAAGTAAACATTCGGGTTCAAGGCACCTACACCTCGTCAACAACATACCGTCACAAACAGCTGGTTGTCATGAAAAGATATGGCGGCATCAGCAAAGCAGCTTCCCTGGGGCTTTCACTGCCCACGTCATAATCAGCCATTATCCAACAGATAATTAGGCATCAAACGCACTTTAAACAGACAGTCCGATTAAGAGATGACAGCAGACGCGCCACTGGTGTCAACTGCGAGCTATATCGCGTAAATTCTCGAATTAGACACAAGGCGGGTGACACTGATTCCAGCCTGGAAGGAGAGACGGACCAACAGCACCAAGTTTTATAGGCAGTGACTTCGTGACCCGATTCCAAGTCAAGTTTTGTCCACCTACAGCTGGCAGATAAAAGGCCCTCCTCGACAATCGGTGACTAGGAATGCGTGCCCAAACCAACGCAACGTATTCGGTGTTATCTGTTGTTCTAAGTAACTAGCCTGATTATCGCTGCTTAGTAGTAGCTTACGTATATCAGCGTCGTGAACATGCTGGTGCCACCCGACACCAGCAATGTTTAGCCGACAACGACGAGGGAAAGATAACAAAATAAGGAGCGATGAACTGGAGCGAGCTGATCTATCGAGAAATACTAGGCGAACTAATGAGGGACAAATCTGATTTCTTCGTAGTGGAAGCCCATATTCGAAATGAGTAATCGCAAGTTACATGCACAATCGTATTAGACTAGGTCAATTGATCAATGGTATTTATTGTAATTGTAACAATAATCCATCTAGACTTGAGTTAAGAAGAATTCCGCACATGATAGAAATATTAAGTACGAGAGCAGTTTGAATTTGATCTTTACAAATAGGCCAAATGTGTGAGTATCTAAATGAGGAAACCCAAAAGTATTCTGAGTGAAAGAGGGATCGACAACGACAGGGGGGAACAGGTCACGCAGACGATCGAACCGAGGAAGAAGAGGCAGCGAGGTGAATTGAAGCAGGATCGAACGATCTGCGTCAGTTGGGGCAGCATCACAGACACCTCTGCAGAAGTCATGAATGTAGACAGTCAGAAATGGTAGGAGATGAAGACCAGTTCGGATATGTACAACGGAGCTTTGCAATATGTACATGGCAACTCTGCTTTTCAAAGGAACAAAGCACAGACAATCGAAAAGCCGTCTGGACTACAGACTATTGAGATCAGACGTAACAATGGTAGTTAAGTCACTTTGAGTAGAAAATTGGTCCAGTGGGTCTGATTCTGAGGAGTGTGTAGGTTGTTGCTGTTGCGGTGGAAGAAGTGGTGCTGATTGTTGTTGAATCTGTGGTGACTGATGAATTAATGAAGATATCGATTGAGAAGGTTCCTCCGGCTTCACACGCATAAGATCGGGCCGCACTGCATTTAAGCACTCCCAACTAATGTCCAATGATGAGCGTCGTCCACGCATCCATGCCAGATATTCTTCCGTTTTGTCCGGATCTATGGCGCTGGTAGCATTGTCTAAAGCGCAAATGAAGGCAAATAAAGACAAACAAGATGTAAACGAGTGATCGGTTCCAAGTGCGCGTTGGCTAACAATTAAGTTAACGATGCACGAGGTTCAGGGATGAAGGAGGACACCGTGGTGATGAGAGAACAGCAATACTGAGTCTCCAAGATTTTCGGAGCACCCAACGGAGATTCTGAGTGCAAAAGAATGATCAACCGGAACATCGCAAAAACAAATTGAGGCAAACAGGAATTACTAGAGGGAATGACGGTATGTCGCCGCAGAAGCAAATGGCCTGGACGTGGTCAATGGGGATGTTTTACCTTAACCAAACAACTTGAAAAATTGGAGAACCATGATCCAGTCAGATCATCATGAAGCTGAAAACGATCTTACTCTAACCAAAACATGCAACAGCAGTTAGATTGTGAAAGAGAAGTAGGGATGAGCGACGCAAGCAGGCTCTTACCCTGATGTACGGAGTTCACATGCCGATAGAAATCCCAGCGGCGAACAAAGCCCTTACGGCACAGATGGCATTCGTAAGGCTTTTTATCTATACAGAAGAAAAGAATGAACGACGAGAAATGGTTAAGATGACGGAGGTTAGGATACCACAGAGGATCCGGCAACAAAAAGCAGAAAATAGCCAAGAGTAAGCATGTGACGCGGGGAGAAGAAAAGTTAGAAGTGCAATTAATCAGGCATCACTAATGTGCTGATAAATGATACAAGCAGATTTAGTAGCATGAGCCAAAGAACCATCCGTTATAACACCACTCATTTTACCATGTGTTCAGACTATTCTGTGGAAGTATTGACGCGATTTGGTGGCTAAAATTTGGTCATGTCAGAAATAACGTATCTCGTCCAGCCGTGAATGTTCATCGGTATCATTAATGTGAAGAAGAAATGTGAGCTAGTGTTAGATATGAATGTTGCAGGTCAGGGGTCACAAAACTACGACCCGCGAAGTCACTTAATACGACTCGCCGACTGTACCCAAATTGGTGTGAATTAACTTCAGCAGCGAATTGATCATCGTGGCAACGACAGCCACTTCATTATCAGGAGCTAAGGTACATTTTGAAAAACACGCCAAGGTTAACTGTGCTGCCTTACGGTCGTCAAACAGCACAATCCAGATCAATCAATGTTTCACCAGGCAACAATTCAGTGCCTATATTTGGGATTCTGGAAGGGAACACTCCATGATAAAGTCCGCGATGAAGCTAAGGGAACTATGGAGAATAGGACATTCCTAGCAAACGTCACTTGAAATCGAAAAAGCGTTCCCACAATTCGCCGTAGACCCTGACGCAGCGGTAGTGTTCGAGTGAAGGGTGCGCAGTACGTTCACATATTTCAGGGGGAAATGTCTCCGAGTATTTGTTTCAAAAAAGACGGAGCAACCGACTGAGTCGAATGCACTATTGAGATCGAGAAACACAGTTATGACCAGTCTATGACACGTTTGATGCTGCTCTGCAAACTTGTCGTAGAGTGAACATACGATTTACACAGCCCCGTTATGGACGGAAAACGACCCGTTCTTCCCTCATCCCGAAGCCGATTTGTACAAACGCAACGAAAATGGGATGGGACCAGTAACTCTGCCAATAGTGGTGGCCAGCACAAGCGATGTGAATACCCTCTTATGTGTCGCCGCTACAACCAACTCACCCCAGTTGACTGGGATGATCTTTTCCTTGCATATCTCGAATACGTAGGCCTGTAATTCGCAGAAGACCTTACATTCATGCTTATACGGGGCCGGTGCGAGGAAATATGGATCAATAACGTGAAATAAATCTAGGGCTGGGATAATGTTCCAAACTTCAGCCCCCCTACGGAACCACTAAATTAGCCGGGTCCGTTTTGGCCTACACCATCCTTGTAAGAAGAAGTTCGGAAGCAAAGTGGTCAACTAAAGCGCACTCAAAAGTGCTCCGAATAATAAGTCAGAGCTGTTGCAGATTGTCTAACACATAAGTTTCGAAGATCAGCTGGAAGTGACTGCGACAGTCACCCTCTGTTCCTACTTGCTTTATTTCTCGAATCTGTTCAGTTCACCAGCGTTCCTTATCAATACGTACATCCTTTTGGACTCACAGCTAATGGCTTGTCAAGTCGTATTATGCTCGGTGCCAGGAGTTTTTCACCTGGATTAGAACAGATTCACTGACAATTTGGATATCCAGCGTATAGTGCTATGCCAGCTAATAATGCCGCAGTAGGGACTTCAATGTCTACATGACGACAGGGGTATTATTCAACTAACGCTAACGTCGGTGGAAGAATTAGGAGAGAACCTGGTATGCAGGGTAGCTTGGTTGTTTTGCCTGATTGAGGGCGAAGACGTTTAATAAGCCGCTCGGCGAAACTTATAGAAAATCGGCAACGAGCATGATCAGAGTCTACAAGTGTTCCAGGAGGGGCGTCAACTGAAACGTGGCGAAGTGACTTGTTTTGGTCCATCGCCGACTGGAAGATTCCAAGTAGCCATGCCACTAAGAAACAGCTGATGCTCGGCGAGCAGGTACAACCAACGCTTACAATGATCCGTGTGTTCAGGGATAGATTAAAACTTACCGAATAACTGAGTTTTTGAACAGCTCCTGATTCAAGCAAAGTTCTAGAGAATAAAAAAGGCATTAGCAGTACGCCGTACCGACGCCTCGCTGCCACACAACAACTACCAGTCGCGCGTGGGCTCATGTTACTGCTAGGGTTGCCCGATCTGTTACACAGGCTCGAACCCATGACCTCCGAGTTGCAAGGCAAACGTCTTGTTCTATCGATGAGGAAATAAGCGTCAATAGCAGGTAGACAATGTTCAACGCTACTCCATGGGCCAACCTTAGCTGATGTTGCCAAATAATGAATCAGTTGGGGACGATGCGCACTCCAGCTTAATTTGTGGTTTCTGCATCGTTATCCGCGAGTACGTTTAACTAATAGGGTTGGATGCAGTTGGACCGATAACCAAATCAGGGTCAGTGATCCTAGTTTCGGGCACAAAGTACACGTTCAGACTCAGGGTGTCCGGTGTGCATGCAAGTACAATCTGCTGATATAATTGTCTTAGAGTACGTTTTTTGAATGCACATAGAGAATCATGGCAGCATGGCTTGACAAAGAGTTTAGAATAGTGCGTCCCCTTAATCCATTTACTGAGCGCAGACATAAGTCGCCAAATGTTAACATTTCAATTGCTCCCATCATCGAGGAACGCAATACGATTAGGAATCAACCGAAGCGAACATCTGAAACCCAAATTGAAACAAAATGATCAATCGAAACCAAGACAATCTAACAGATTGCTTCAGTGCACAAAACGCCGGGCGATACTTCGAGATAAGTAAAGCCACAGTGATAGCCAGTCATTTTGGGTTCCGATCACGTAACAGTATTTGGAACGTGGTCGATTGATCCACGTGATGACGAATCAAATCGAGATGCCTCGAAATGGACGAGGCAGGACTGCGATTTAATAGTTTATCTGCACCAATTTGTTGTGCCAACGCTTGCCGTTGGTAGGTGTTCCGCCATCCGTAGGGCCAGTCTATGGTCAGCCCTGCCTATATAAACGTCATCGCAACTACAGGTGAACTGGTAGACTAGATGTGAGGCCGCACTGCCTGGCGGGCCCTTTGGATGGTCGTTGAGATCCAGTCTTCGCGTGCTGTGGAGCAGTCTCAACTGGGCGGTGGTGCAGGTACGCGAGAGCGCAGACCTTATTTTATGCCTGAGGACATTGGATAAATGATCTGCTTTAAACGGCAGAAACAAGTAAACATCCTTCTGTTTTGCTGTTTGCACAGTTGGTTTCTCCTTGGGCGGTCGGCTATGAATCTGGATGGACCTGCCCGGGCACCCATTTGACAATAGAGTCTTATATAAAAACTCTTCGGCCTTAAGCGTGTCTGTAGTGCAAATTCGCTTGTTGTGGTCTAATAAGACCACAACAGATTCCTAGGGTAGGAATAACACTCAGAGAGTAAAGGACATTAGAAAATTCAAAGGAAAGCAAAAATACTGTGTGTGTGAGTAGGCTGCTAACAAATTAGGGTCGAGGGGCAATTTGATTTGAGAGAAGTGCCAGTGCCGTTCATGGGGAAATGCTTCACGGTAGTTTCCTTCTAAGAGATAAGAAAGTGTGGTACCCTTAAAAAGCACCGTGGAGCTCAGACCAATCTAATCAAACCATATGCCTAGAAAACAAGACAGCTGGAGCAACGGCCTAACGGCTGTACAGAGAGATAACTCAATGTGTGTGGGTAGAAAGTACGCGCGAAAAAAGTATGAGCCTGCGGTGCCTTCACACTGCAGGACGTGTTGCCTATAGCGGAAACCTAAGACAAAAAACAGCCATAGCGACCAACATCCAAACAAACGGTCATGGTTGTAGGAAAAACAATTGAAGTGGGAGGCATCAACTGGGATCAGATTGCAGTTTGTGCGAAGGTGATTGTTGCCTCGCAAATCGCACTGGAACTAAATAGTTAGGCATGTCCAGTGCTGATGACCACAGAACAAATCTCCTGGCCTGAACAAGCTGTTACATCAAAGGAAATTTGCATCCTAAACCTGAAATTATGAACACCCAGTCGGTTCCAAGCATATTTTGAGATACTAAAAAGAGAACTAGTTTCCTGAAGTGAAGAACGGCTACAATGAAGATAGAGTGATAACTTGCCTTACCTGTATGCACCTGGATGATGTGGGCCTGCAAACTCTGTCGTCGGGGATAGACTTTTGAGCAGGTGGCGCAGGGATACTCCTTGGTTGGGCGAGATCCTGGAAGATAAACAGATGTCATGTACACAAGCGAGGTCAGTAGGTACTCTACGGGAAGAATCAGCATTAAGATGAAGAAGGAGCTGATAGCTACGACGTATGCGCAGGACGTCAGTGATCGCATTGTTGAATCAGGGTTCGGGACCAGGCTTCACATAGGTTTTAGTTGAAGCAAATCCCGTTCCGATAACAGAGCTTCCGCGTTATAACAATTAATGCTTACGACTGTGAAAAAAAGCAAAAACGTGGTAAATGCAGTGGCGTAAGCACAGACGTATCACTAGGTCACGACAAAGAGAGTGAACAAAACTGTTCGAATTCGTCACCAATTCATTTGTTCGTGTTTGATTACGGAAACTGGTGGTGGCAAACGAACCTTTGGGACAAAACGTACCTAGTGCGGCAAGGTGTAACGCACCGATTCAGTCACAATGTGCACACCAGAAATAAAGGAAGTACAGCGTAATATAACGGTTACTATCGTAGTGGTAACAAACGGAAATAAACTCCGTTCACACAGCTTAGGAAGGAAGCCGCTGAGAACAATAAGGTGGAAAACTCACCTGAGGGATTGGGTTGTGTTGGATTCGTACTGAGGTGATTAACAGACAGGGGAGCAAGACCAAAAGATGAATGGATAAGCTGCGTTGAATTCGCGACACTGCTAGGCGGCATTAGGGTGGTCGGAACAGCGGGTAACACCGCTGATGGATGGACCATGGCGTTGGGTTGGTTAGCGAATGGGTTGTTTTGTTGTGGTTGAAAGAAAAACGTAGACATGGGCATGTTCACACCCGGAGCGACCATCATGACTTGGGTTCCCGCAGGCATTGCGGTGGTTGCGGTACCAGGCGCTGCAATGATTGTGCCCATGGCTAGAGGCAATAGAAAAAGTATAATATGCAAAGTAAGAGAGCAATAGAAGTCCCACCGCATACATATTTCAAGTGAGAGAATAATGAACTAGAAACATAACACGTTCTCGCATCACTGCAACGAGACAGAGAAAATAACGACTGAATGACAGTAAGAATTCGTTTATTGTTTCAATACAAAGGGAATCACACCACAATGTGTGAGGAAAGACCAAGCGCCATACAGTAAATGACGAAATTTTCTGATTCGAAGCCAAACCACCTTTGCCGCATCTTTCGCCTTCTCAACCAGCGAAACAAGTGCAATGAGCTTGTGAGAGCACGCGTGCACTGAAGTATTTGAAACATGATGCTGCCTTCATTTAATTTCGTGTCGCACCAGTTTCCTGTGTTCAAGGATTCACAGCGTGTCTATGAGATCCATGCGCACAACGGTAGGTCGGGCAATCAAATCTAATCTCTGATCGTGTCTTTCACGACTATCCTATTCGACACTCTGGTTTCGCCTGCACTGAGGATGTAACGTGCGTCTGTATCAGAACAAACATATTAATATGTCAGAGTCACGATTTTATCTTCATTCAACGCTTTCTTTCTGTTCGCTATTTGCCCCCACCCAGCTTTTACTTTTTCATATTTCAAGCCCACATTTCAGCTCTCATATGCATCGTAGGGTGAAGCAACTTGAGTCAATTTTCCCCAATTCTTTTCTTATGCTATTATTCATCAATATTTACCTGCACAGAGAGCATGTTGCCACCGAAAACGGAAAATCAGGAGACCCATTCATTTCTATCTCCCGAATAGCCCACCTTTCCCACGCGTAGACAAATCGGCACTTTCCCCCTATGCAAATGCTCTTGTTAACACGCATGGTTTTCGTTGATTAATAACACGTATTTTACTGTACATCCTTAGCAACACTCGCACTTGCATCCACTGGAACGCGCCTAACGATAAGTTAATGACAAGAGAGACAAAACAGGAGGGCGAACTAAATTGATACTGTCAAGCCGCAGGAAACTGAAAATCGCACCGTCTATATTGCTGCCTTACGACTTGTAGTATTCTGGAATGTGTGCAGTGCAGCTCATCCTACTGAGCATTTACAAACACGAAGATGTACACTATCTAACTACTGACATGCAAATCGAACAAATGAGTATCTATTTATATATCGCTCAAAAGTACATAAGCTATGGAGAAAGGTGGCAAATGAGTTGACACATAGTGGTAGCGCACTAAAGGAAAAAGTCTTCAGGTTACCGTGAGTTCGAACGGTACCTACTGCAGTGTCCTGAGGAGAGCTCAGCTAGTTGACTGCGCAGTTTGAGTCGCCGGATAGGGACAGTATGACTGGGATATGCGAGCTCCGCAACTAAATGCAATGTTCGACGTAGCATGACAGGACAATGCAGTTGGAATTGGATAGGAGAACAGAAATGGTTGGCGGCATCCGGTTTCGGATTTGTCTGTCACTGTGGCCAGCCACAAGACGCCTGCGCCTACAGAGGGACCATGGGTGGCTTGCGCTGCACCACCCACACACGCCATATCCAGTGTAAATCCGAAGGAATAAGACCGGGAGGCATGTGGATGGGAGCCACATTTCATCAACGGAGCTGGCCCACACTCCTTCACAGACAAACACAAGCACGCTGTATTTGGGGAAATCAATCGCACACAAGGCGGTGGCTGGACCGTAGTCCGCTCCACACTGAGTGCACGGAACCGCTCCTCGAGCCTAGCACAACCACAAGGACCGTGCACCCTGTCCTCTCCAGCAACGACCAACTGTCTCCTGGAGCCAGTATGGACGAGGTAGTGGGTAATAGACAGGTAGGCACCTTGTCAACATGCACACCAAGCGCAGCCACACCGGGGATATCAGGAAACAGCCAATCACTTTAAACGACAAGGTGAAATAAAAGAAATCTAATAATGCATACAGGTACGGTGACATAACACTTCGCTAAATTAGCATATGAAGTAAGTTGGCTAGCAACGAATCCGTGATAAGTAAAAAATCTCCACAAGTTACTTATCGTGTTCTAGGGAAAGACTGGGTCAAATGTTGCACTGAGTACGGACGAAATAGAGGGCGAATAAATGGTCAGAGCAACGAGAGCCAGTAAGAGGAACTTACGAAGGTTCATGGTTTGATTCTGAGCTTGAGGTTGGAAAAATGTAAAATGTTGATGCGGGGCTATTACGCTATGATGAGTCTGTGGTTGCAAATGTTGTTGTGGCTGTTGCTGCTGTTGTTGTTGCTGTTGCGATTGGATGTGTTGCATTTGTTGTGTATGTTGCTGTTGCGAATCCTGCGGTTGGGACTGCGGTCGCGAAGTAAGCATGGCTGAAAGAAAAGAATAGGTGTGTTGCGCAAGAAGTACAAATAGTAGAAGCATGAGGCAAAGCTAGGCTAACGTGTGATTGAGGTGATTATTTTATGGTCTGCGTATCGGATGAACTTATATCAAAAGAACTCAGAATCTAGAAGTGTTATGCAACACAACAGGATAGTGTAACATACTTTTATGGACGGATGCGACGTGTCGCTCGAAATACCACTTCTGCGGGAAACCTTTGTTACAAATGGGACACATATATGGCTTGGACTCTGTGGAGGAATGGTGTAAAGTGTGACTGTCAACAGCATAATCGCAAACAGGAAAACGAAGCAATTGAAAGAAAATGATTGTACGTAGGAAACTTGACTACAAATGGTGAAACATTAAAGCCGGTTTAATAGTAGCAGTAATTATATAAAATACATAAATTTTAAAAGGGGTTCGATACGGTAAGGTGAAATGGGTCCGACCGTGGTGCACAAGAGAAAATTAAATTTATATTTGAAACAGTTAGTTCCCATTAGTAATTTGAAAGCGCAGTAAGAAGATGAAGACTGCCAAATGCACGCATATCGAAAATTGATATTGCAAACACTGTTTAGTTAGACGAAATATAGTTTTTTCTATTAGAGCTACCATAAAATAGGGGAAATGTAAAAATGGAAACGGGAAATTCGCTGCAAAAAACGCAAATCAGAACATACAGATTTGTACTGCAACGGCTAGACATAATGACAAAGTGAATCTAGTGACAGAATTTGACAACAAACGGAGGGGACAAACAGATGATGAGAAGTCTAAGCAACAACGACAGAGATGTATGGTGTGCACGAAACGGAGAATCGAAATGATACTGATGTAATTACCATGTTAAGATCACAATCAGAGAAAGTGCTCAGTTTGGTGCAGTTAAGCAACTACTGTCCGAGCAACGGAATCCGACTGTCAGTATGTATGGCTCAAGCCGCTGTAAAAATACCAGGTGGGTGAAAAATCAAGACGAAAAGTAATCGAGAAGAAGCAAGTAGAAAACGTATGGATGTCGGTAAAAAGCAAAGCGATGATGCAACAATGATACTAACTTCGCACTTGGCCCAATTACGCAACTCAAGTAAATGGCGATGTCGTTGATAACGGTATCTAAGGAGCGGAAAAGCATCATCTCGATTAAACTTCAGCGAAACTCTTCACATCACTCACTTCATCATTGAATGGTTATGGTTTTCTCTGGTTCCCATAAGTGCGATAATGGCGAACGACACATGCCACACGGCAGTCCGCTGGTGACTAAGTCAACGTGGATGAATCAAGTGCAAAAGACATCGTAGCGCAACGCCGGGGAGGGACACAAAAACTAGTGCAAACAATTTATACCCATGAGTGGGGATTCTTTGATGTAATTTATTGAGATTCAGTCACATCAACTTCTAAATCAGATAGTCCTCCGCACGCCCGGAAAAGCACTAGATTGCAGTGTGACAAACTAGTAATTAAGTAAACCAGTTGGCTTGTCTGATCCGAAGTACCTCATGTGACCTATTCTTATTGTTAGAGTGACTGACAAGGTCGGAGACAGGGCCTCACTGATTAGACTGCGATTTTGGTAGTGGGGATGAGCAGGAGCAAGAAACTCGTCCGCTAGCTATTTCGACAGAGTGGCTTAGTTCGACGAATTAGTCGTTGGCTTAAAGGTCCAATTCACGAAGTATTGCAGTGTCGAAGTACGAGAAAATGTAATTGAAAGAAGCAAACAATAATGAAGCAAAGAAGGCATCAGCAGTACGCGGGGATTTTACACCGAAGTTTTGATGCCACACAACCCGCACTGGTTGAACACGGCGAAGCTATCCACATCCAGGGCGGACTAGAACAGGCGAATGCAGTCACCTGAACCACTTCGTTATCCGGTGTGTAGGAATCATGGAAACACTTCTCGAATCGGTAAATGGAGTTCTTGCATAATCCGAAGAAATAACTGGTGAAAAAGCGCCGATAACATCAGTGGCAGTAAGCCAAAACAAACAATGCTAATGCTATCGGAGTGATGTGATAAGATGGAAAGAGATCACAAGAAAGGTACTATCTAGCTAGCCAACACGGACGCGGTAGATCGTCACATATGACTTCGAAAGTCCGGAAAACAAGCATTACGGAAAAACCTTAACGGAGCAACAATTCCCGAATCGAGTACATTGTGACAATGCAACTACAAAACAGATGGAATCACAGACTACAAAGGCGGTTTTTCGAAAAGCGTTTTTAACAAGTAAGGGGCCTGGAGACAGGAAAAACTGAACAAAAGATAAAAGAATTTCTGCATAACTGTAACTTTGTGAGGAAAAAAACAAGTTGACTGTCGTTTTTTACAAATAGAATAGCTACGTTGCAAGGGATTCGTAAACGACTATCTGTCAACATCCGATAAAGGCATATCAAACCGTCGAATTCAGAGGTAAACAATGGATAACGCCCAAGCATGGTCGCGAGAGGATCAAGCACGAAACCCGAAACGTATGCAAAATACCTCAGATGGTGAACAAAATAGTAAAACGGTAAAATGGATCCCACGGAGGAAAGTCACATTGAAAAAACAACTTCTGAAAAAAACGCGTCACAATGAGCACAAAATTCGCTTATCGTGTTATTAAGCTTGTGTTCTGTAAAGCAGCATCATGAGGCTAAGGAATAGCGGTTGATCTGTTTAGGGTTGGGAGGAGTAACAACGAACCACTTCCAATTCGGATACGGTCCTTGTGATCTTAATGACCATGTCTAATTCAAAAGGAATCGAGGTTTAAATGGAGATTTCGTGTCGCAATCCAACCATACAGCGGGTACTCCAAATCCAGCTCTGAATTCTTTACCACTGAGCCAAGCGTCGCTCACGGATCTTAGATCCATAGTGATCAAGGCGTCAAGCTTTAACCACTAGGCCCCGAGTTCCACCCCAGCTCAGGCTATCTCCACCTGATGAGTCCAAACGAGGAGGAAATCGGTTATGGGGTGTCAGAGTTGGGAGGACCAACACCGAACCACTTCCAAAGGTTGATCTGTATTTTTTTTACAAAGATGAAACAAGCAGCCAACCTGATCTAAGGATCCATGATAACCCGGACTAAAGTTTAGACATTTGTCCAGACCTTAAGCACTGAGTATTTTGCAAGCAGCGGTGATTGCATCGCGCACAAGCTACGTCGGATTAACATCATCGAAACAGTAAAAGCACATGCTTCTAATGAAAGTGGCGGATGCAGAACGGAATTGTGAGAGAACATGAGGCAGGTAATCGCTGACCAGAGAACATTGACACAAGTGAGTTTATCGAAAAGACTTACCTTCATTCATGGATGATTCAAACGAAGCCATCACGGTTACTCATTCATTTGAAAAGGCCACATGAGGAGCAATATTTTCGTTAAATCTTGAACAATCAAGTATACCGAGATTAACACACGACCGCCTAGAGCAATAGAGAACTTGTCTCTTTAGGTGCGTCGATCGACAGCTAAATAAAAGAGGGGTCTCCATAGGCTATGCACGAGAGCTGCCGCTTACATAGTTCGGAAAACAGCCATCTGATTTCAATGATCTCTGCCGTAGCCAACAGGCAGTTTAAGTCTTCAGATAACATCTTGATACATCTTGCCATACTTAACATGTTTGTTAAGCCAATCTTGCACGCGAAGTTCGTTTCTGTTGATAAGAAAGTTCTAGAGATGGGAACTAGATTTCCCTAACCATGATGCATCACACAGGCGACCAATTGAAATGGAGCAAATGATTCCGACCGAACTGGAATTTTAATTTCCAGCAGTATGATAGTGGATGGATCGGTTTAATCGAAAATGCAAACCCAAGCAACCGGACATATTTGGTTCACTGTGGTCGGCACTTTGCATCCGGCGGCTGCAGATGGATATCACACTTGAAAGGAACCACTCCGTTCGTGAGACCAGTGTTGTTTTAAAGTGAACACAAGAGTAAAATGTTTTTAGGAATGCACTGGGTTCCCCATTGGTTTGTAGCGTCCTGGTTGTAAAATGCTTCTTAGCCTTCAACGATTTTGTTCCGTAAATTCTTGTGGCAAGATGTTGCGGACAACAAGCTAGGTTCCTCAGTTTTCATGGACGCGAGGTAGATGTGAAACGCTCCAATAGAGTAACAACATAAAAACGATCTTTGGAAGGTTCTAGCCATACATGATGGTGCGACAGGTAATTGGTGCTGATCCGCGAGACGGCACGTCAGGAGAGTGAGTGAAAGACAACGCATGTGCAGCTAGTCTCCCTAGTGATAACGATAAGCGCTCTCCACTGTAAACCTCAGAGCTCCAAGGCAAGCAAAATGTTCCGGTGGTAATAAACACAACGAAGCAATGTAGCAGAACAACACTGGTCTGTATATTTAACTAAGCAGAGGGATTGGAAGGCTCTCGAACGCAAGATAGTGTAGATGAAAAGCAACCGATTAATCAGGAGTGATTAAGGCGAACCGGTCGAACTGAAGCCACTTAGAATCGATCGAAAGTTAGAAAATTAAACAATGTCCAGTCGGCCAGAAACACAGAAGACTAATTGCTCGATACCGAAAGGCGGGAAATTTCACCATGCTCTTACAGTTGCACAACAGCGTTGACAAGGTCAGGCACATACACTTGACGAAGAACAGATGGCTCTATGAACGACATGATGTAAAACGAAAGAACTAGTCAAAATTCTGCGTTGCAGTACCAACCACTACTCCCCAATGATCGATGGACTAGTTAATGCAGACGGAGAGTCCCTGCTATCTGTGAAGCATTTAGCTCATTGTTCGCTACCTCCATGAGACTAGAGACGGACCCGTTAAATACATGCATTGAGGTGCACACAACCAACCAATTGTGCAACATCGAGTATTCCGTCAGTGCGATCCAACATGTAATGAACTCCATCAAACAGTCTTCCCATCTGGATTCCGATGGTATTCCTTCTGCCGTCATAAAATTGGGAGAGCTTGAGATACCGTTGTAATCGCTGAACATGTTTACCCTTTTGTTGTAATCAAGCTACTTTCCAGATAAGTGAAAAACATCGCTCATCCTCGCCCGTCACAAGGGTGGCTCTAAACAAAAAATGGCAATTACCGGCCATGTATTAGTCAGTTTAGTAGAGAAAATGGTTAATAATGGTGTGATGAAATTCATCAGTTCACCGGACCTGATCGACAGGTCCCAGTATGGTTTGCTGGACAAATGATCGTGCATAATCTGCCAACCGCATTATCCAAACCATGTTTCGGATTCTATTGAGTCAGGATACGAGTGCCCCACAAACAGCTTCTGAAAAAGAGTGCTTCCTTTGGATTCCAGGACCCACTCCTAGGCTGGCTATCGTCATACCTGAGCGGCCGTTCTCAGGTAGTTACCATAGCCGACCACCACTCCTTGTCACGTCCAACTACTAGTGATGTTATCCAAGGGAGTGCACTTGGTCTGTTACTGTTCCTGCTCTATGTCAATGACATCAGTGCGGTTATTAGACACGGCATTCCTTTCTTATTTGCAGATGACATAAAGATAGTCTACAAATTCCGACGAGCTGAACTTCAAGATACACTACTGCTCATACAGGAAGACCTCCACTCCCTGGAAAAATGGTATGATAATTGGATGATGAATTTCTCGGTGAAAAAATGTAGCGTCATGCATCGCAGTTGTCCGGTACCAGAGGGATCAACTGCATTCAACAACGAACACCTTTGTGCACAGCTGTCTACCCGTGACCTCGGAATCAAGTGTTCTAGCACTTTCATCTTTTCTGAACAGGTTGAATACCAGCTGGCCAAGGCCAGAAAATCAGTGGCTAAGATATTGTACAGCGTGAAACTCTACAAATCCTAACTCGCTCCGTTTTGGAATATAGCAGTATTATTTGTAGCGGCACGAGGAAATCTGACAGTGTCTCTGGAAAGTCTACAGAAGTCATTTACAAGACGTCTGCTAGGCAAAACTTACAGCAAGAACTATCAAAAACACTGTCAACAATTCCAGTTCGATTCGTTTTGGCTACGAAGATTGAGGCATAACCTGATGTTTCTGTACAACATGAACCATTAAAATGTCCACTTCAGTAACCAGAGGTGAGTATCTAACGGAGAGCGGATGAACAACCCTGCTGGCCACCGGATTCTCTGTGGACTGCTATTAAACACAAAGAAGGCGAATGAGCCACCCGGATGTCAACGGTCTTCGTTATTCGCCCCGCTGCCTTGTGAGTTAGGTCTTAAAACCAAAGGTTCGGGGTAGGGTCCCTTAAGTCAACCCTCTTCCTCGGTCTGGGCAACCGGGAAAATCTCTGCCCACACAACACATAAACCTTGTAAACGTTTCAAACCCTTTCATTGACTACCCGTTCTCCGCTTCTTTGTTGCTGTTAACTATGTGCTATAGCACTGCCAACTGTACACTGGTCAAGGGTTGAATAATAATAATAATAATAATAATAATAATAATAATAATAATAAGCCTTCCTTCGAGTTACAGCATAGTTCGACAAGGGGACTAGGCATTAGGAAGTTTAGCCTGTGTACCCATGTGCAGGAGAAATCTACGGTCCGACATTTTCCTTATCAGATATGCTGCCAGTCACTATCAGATGGTGTGAGAGCGCGCCGATCTTTCGTGTTAAGCTCGCCAATTACCTAGACTTGAACATGGTTATGACCCTGTTATCTTGATGACTTGTTCCAATAAGGGCAAGACAACATTTGATGGGTGCAACGAAAAGATTCCACGCAGCGTGGTACACCCTTAGTGCTGCTGCTATCCCCTAGTAAAACTGGTCCATATTGCGTTGAAACACCTCTGTGAGTAAATACACACCCTTGAAATAGCAAAACAATCATCATCATTATACATGTTAGCAAGAGGTGAAAACACAGCTATTGTACCGCAATACATTAGAAAAAAGAAAAAATACAACAAAGGTACGCCGGCTGAGTCACCAGTAACAGATGGGCATCGTTCAGGAGAGCTAACAACCGGCTATTGTGCTGCAAAAATAAGTGTATTATTATGCATTTGAATTGAGATCGTGCTTGGAGAGGCAAGCTAAGCGGAAGGGACAAAGAAACACAATATAAACGCCACTGAGGTCGGCTCTTAGCCACATCAACAAGTGTATCCAGCCCAACGTGTCCAGCGTCTTTCGGAGCCCAACCAGGGAGCCAAAAAGCTCCAACAGAGGGCAACTTCGAACTAAGGGTTTTCATTCCCATTAATCAAGTCATCACTTAAGCACCTCTCCTCTTCTTCCATCCACACCCAGGGCGCGAAAAAATGCACGTCGCGGGAGTCGGTGTGTTGGCATGCGCAGCACATGGCACATTCATCGGAGCGTGATATAAGGGTGCCAAGCGGCCCACTTCTTCTTCCTCCGCCATAAACGAGGAGTCGAACACGTTCTTTGATCACACGGTGTTCCCAACAGACATGAGCTAAGATGCGAAGGCAGCGATGATCGAACGTGATTAGTTTCTTTACGTCTGCCGATTTGATAGGCCAGGTTCCACAACCGTACAGTAGGGTCGAACGTAAAGCTGTGTTGTACACGCTACCCTTTAGGGCGAGAGTGATGTCGCGCCGACGCCCTAGGTGGAGAAGGTTAGCCAAAACACCTCAGGCTTTTGTGACCTCGTCTTTAATTCCAACGGCGCTGACACAAATGCCGAGGTAGCTGAAGCTTTGAACAACTTCTGGCTGATCCCAAACAAGGGTCAGCGCAAAAGGCAGTCTCTGCCAATCTTGGAAGAAAACTTTGCACTTAGAGGGTGCAAAACATACGCCGAAACAGCTGACCGCCAATGCTAATCTATCTAGTACTGTTCGGCATGTTTGAGTTCACTGATTAGAGCAATGTCGTCAGCATACTCCAAGTCAAGAAGTCGTTCACCTAGGAGCAGTTCCACACCTAATTCGTGTATTGTGATCGCAATCTCCATGACTTGGTCAACAGCAAGTTGAACAGGAAAGGCGACAGCGGACATTTTTGTCTTACACCGGTTGAGATATTGAATGGCGACGACAGCATCCTAAAGTACTCAGCCCAACGTTCCAAACGTTTTGACAAGTTGTGGATAGGCTGTCCACTCTTGTCACATACAGTTTCACATTTGTGTTTGCTTTCAGCCGGAACGAGCCGGCGAGCGTCGATAAGTTCCACAGACTGCGCAGAGACCCAATGTTCACACTAGTCTGCTAGTGAACATGCGACCTTCAACTGTATTCAGGGAGCGCTTGCGCGACCGGGATGTCGGCGCACTTGGATACGCATTAAGAACATCTGGCTACGCCAGTTGGCTAGTGTTTATGCGCTCACAGCGTCGTCCAAAGCATGCGCCGAAACGCACCTGCAGACCAGCACATACAAGTGCATGGTCAGTGTCCACACATGTGCTCCAAATCGAACGACAGTTCTGGACGCAGCCTCTCCAGCGGTAATTGATCGCGATGTGATCGATTTGCGTCCACGGCTGGTCTGAGGCTGGGAGACGCCATGTCACTTTCCGGTGGGTGCTGTGTCGGAAGTGAGTGCTCGCAAAAAAATAAGCGAGCATCTTCACACAAATGAAGTAACCGCTCACCGTTATCATTACAGGAGCTCAGACCGTGTTGGCCGCCCAGATGCGGCCCATCAGTGGACCATTTCCGAACGAGTGTTCCGATCTCCAGCCAGCACCAGTGTCCGTGATTCTTCTGTGGTGAATGAGTTGGTTCAATTGACCAAAGAATTCGTTTTTATCAAAGCATCGCAACAGTTTGTGGGCGCGCAGACACTAATGACGAATAGACACCCAGTAGTCTCGCGTGACTTCAAAGCTTTGAAGGAGCCAACCAATCGGACCGCACATATCCGGCTACTGATTTGGATCCAATCAACCAAAGCAGTTTCAGCTCGGGAACTCAGGGCAATACCAACACGGGCTTGGCCGGTACTCGAAGCTGCATCGTCACCGGATAGGCGCAATGAGAAAGTACTGCTAGTGTCCCTTGAAGGGGGTCGCAAGTTGAGAACAGAGCTCGGGTCTTGCATTTGGGTTCCCGATAGGCAGCAGATATCTATCGAGAGGGTCTCTAATATTCGCGCAAGTGCTGCCTGTTGACCGATCTGTAACAATGTGCGTACGTTGAGGCATGCCAATCTGAGGGAGGATCGAGGTTTGCAAATAGAAGCCGATGAACTGGGAATCATTGCTTGGTTAAATATGGGCTTGTCAACAGGGCAGGAGTGAGGCTCCGCTTTTGCACGTGAGTCGAAACTCGAAGAGGAGCGCTCATCAAAGCAAAGTGAGGGAGAACCAAGAATTTGGGGATGGAAAACAGGGGGATAAAAGTGAAGTTGGGGCGGGACGCTAAGGATGAAAAAGCGTAAGGGGGGAATAAGAAGACGGGAAGGCTTGAGCAGTAGCATCCAAACCACTATCCACCCTGCTCGATGCAGTGGACAGGACGCCGTTGATTATCCTCTGTGACGCCCAGAGCATCAAGCAATAGTTTGAAGGATAAGTCATAGCTGTATTGCGTGGGCAGGATATTGTCAGACTGCCGAGTCCTAGACAGGAGAACCATTAGGGTTCTCAACCAAAGCGTTTGATTCAAAAACCTGACCACAAGGCGGCGGATTTGGCAGGGGACTACAGAGGGCCCGTTCTATGGAGTAGAGAGCCACCCTCACTCTAACACCCAATCTGGAGGGCTAGGAGATTGAGTAGTCTGGCCTCTAGCCATTGACCAATCTGGTATGAGTGACTGTGATGGTGCACAAAAGCACCACTCAGCACAGCTCAATTGATCACTGAGGCACACAAATCATCGCACCACGTTAAGATCCAGCCTCATTGCGATGGAGAAGACAATGAAAATCACACAACTATTTATCACTCATGCATGAGCATGACATCTACATAATATGATCTGTGGGAAATATCAACACAGCTTCAGGCGAAGAGAAATATACCCAAGGTATTGAAAAGAATCTTACCTCGGTGTACAGAATTCGAATGGCGAAGCAAATCGCATTTTCGCGCAAACTCCTTTAAGCAATTGTCGCATTGGTGGGGTCTAAGGCCTGAAATTCGAGAAACACACATCGGTAGTAACTGGTAAGTAGGAAAAGACGAGTACGGAAGGAGCAAGGATGAGAGCAGGGTAAATGGACGCATTAGTGAGAATCCACATGTGCTAGTATGTTTTAGCCTATTAAGCAGATGGATCTGTGCACGTGAAGAAAAAACCAAGGGTGGGTTGAGAAGTAACAGAGAAAAATTTCAGGAAAAGATAAATGGACATTAGAATTGAGAACAGCAAATGGAAAAGCCTGGGGACTGACAGTGCTACCACGTTTAGTGGAACCGCATATCTGTAATTCGAGATACAGCGAGTGATAAGAAGATATCAGCTCATCGATCAAAACATGTCGGTACGTGCCGAAAAGACAAGCCTAAGTAGGTTACTCATAATGTAGGCGGATGGGAACTAAGAGAGCTGGTAGACTATGAAAGTGATCTGATTGAGATTTCACAGTGCAATCAGCATGTCTGATGGTTAGAAGAACTCACTGATCACAAATAGTTATATATATATATATATATATATATATATATATATATATATATATATATATATATATATATATATATATATATATACTGAACCTAGCCCCGTCAAGTGGACGATGCACCTCGTCCCCTGCAGCAAGGACCAACTGTCACCTGGAGCCAGCAATCGAGATGGAGGGTAGTATACAGGTAGACACCTTGTCGACATGAGAAGATTGCTGTGTTCTCCGAGCTAGGCACTCTTGTTGCAGACGTTTCGTTGCCTAGTTTGACAACGAAACGTCTGCAACAAAAGTGCCTAGCTCGGAGAACACAACAATCCTCTCATTCACATCCCGAGCTACAGGTATACACAATAATTTCATAACCTTGTCAGCATTCACATCAGGCGCAGCCACACCGGGGAGCTCAATCATCATCTAAATTCTGAAATGCAAGATTACTTATCCGGCAGGCAAACGAACCACCTTCGCCGCCTTATTGGCCTGGATTAGTAAATCGAAAGGGAGCGTACGCATCGCGCTTCTCTTCCGCGTGCAATAGTGCCTTCTTCTGCAGATGGGCAACTGCCTTCTTAGCCAGTCCGCGGAATTCGCACCGAGCAACTCTATATTTGATTCGCAACACTTGAAATCCACATTAGTTCGTCATAAACTCTTTTTTTTCTTGTCTTGGTAATGTTATTTGCGGTTTGCCCGAGTGCCGCTTCGCTGCACTAAGGTGGCCGTACAAAAGCGGTATGAGGATCCTCGTCGAATTCGTTCGGTATGCACATAGACATGCGTTGGCGTCATCCGTATCCAATTGTGGTTCGAATACAACATATGCACATGCGTTTGTCTAAACTTAAGTAGGAACTGCCACAAACTGGATAGAGACACATTAAACCTCATGAACAATTGTACTACAATTGTGCATGGGTTCCGTTTGGAAGTGAGGCTAACAGCCATTTCCGCACGCACGAGTATTAGTACCCAATACGAACTGTCGGTATTTCTCTTGACATGTAAACGTGAACATGACAGCCTCATATCTTGGGCAACAATATTTGAACGAAACCGAGATAGAAATAATGAAGCAACTGCCATCAGTACGGTTACCGGGTAGAATGATAAATAAACAAGTGTTACAGTAAAATAGTGTGTAATTAGGTATTGCCGTCTATATGTACAGTCTGGTTTGCGTACCTGATGGGGGGATCACACAGCGTGCGAATTCGATGGGGTGTTCACCTCATGCTCTCCGTGTCGCCGACCGGTCCGATCATCTGCCGCCCGAGGTACGTGCAGATTCTCAAAGAACGATTTTTGTGCAACCTTAAGCATTGACAAGTGTCAATACCACATATTCGCCACTTATGCTTCGTTGGAGCGACAACTACCGCAGTACTACATTAAATAAGTCCCTCTGCCCACTGTCAAACATGCGGCTTTCCAAACAGTATTCGCACTGTTCGCAAATGTCCAAGAGGTAGCATAGCCATCATCCAAGTACTCAAGCTTTTGTTTATACCGCTGTGTACATTGCTGTGGCCATAAGCTATTTGATAATGATCTGCATCGTATGTCTCGGGTGCAGACATTCGGTGCTCCTAAAATAATTAATTGTCACTATGCACCGATTCCTTTCCTATGTTATATACTAAGACGATGTACCACTACCGTTAACATTACCTTTCTCTTAGTCTATCCAGAAGATTGGCCACGTACAATTCCATTTCTGATAGGCACCTCTGCGCTTTCGCCTTCAATCCGCATAATACGTGCGTTTTCATAAGCACTGGTAAATTCAGTATGGCTGGTGAACGACGCGAAATGTAGCTATGCTCACTATCATCACTAACCTGTGGAGCGGGACATGAACTGTCGACATCATGATAATCGCTAATCGGTTAATTGTCGGGATTGTTCACTTGCCACGGATTTTCCAGGGCAATTTCTCTTCGGATGCATAGTCCGACATGGTCACACGGGGGACAATCATTGAGCATTGTACTCCAGATGTTAAACTTTGCACTTTATGCGTACTGTAAGCAGCCAAGCACTGGTAATCTTGATTTACACCTATTCACCGAACTGGCTAGCTTACCGAACAAGCTGAGTGGTTCTGGATTATCCGGTTCCAGCAAATCGTTCGGCGGCAGTGTTCCAGGACGTGGTGTGTCTTCGCCTGGCAAGCGATCTCCCTATAAAAAGCCACATACGTCCGTTTAATAACACTGTGACGTGGCGGATGTGACTCGCCACTAAATAAAGTCACTGCCCCTTCCTTCATACTGTCGAAGCGTTGTATTCCAGCAACTTAATGCTGAAATTGTGGTGAGCATTGGGCCCCTGTTTGGCAAACGAACAAAAGAAAGGCGTATAAACTGGACAATCAGTCACTGGCTGCCAGTGGGCGCGATTGCCTGAATTCGCCTGGCTGCCTTGCGGGCAGGCCATTCGGCCAAACGCTCGGGGTGGTGTCCCCTAAGTCAACACCCTACTTCGGCTTGGGCAACCGGGTAGTCCCTCGCCCTCTGACGAAATCATGGACTCATCCGTGTTGTGTTTTTTAACGATATCTGTACTTTCCTTTGAGTTCCATGGTTTTGATGGCTCCATGCCTATTCGTAGGCTGTTGCATAAATATATATATATATATATATATATATATATATATATATATATATATATATATATACAACCGAGTTAAATGAGTTCAATAAAGGTAGGTTAGGTGTGGCTCATTCGTTCTAGGCAGGTGCAATAAAGATATCACATTGCGCCAAGTCCGCAGTTAATCATTCTAGAATGAAACTGTACGCAAGCGCGACTTACATGCGGGATAGAGAATAAGGAAGACACAAAAAAATGACGGAGATGGCGTAAGCAACTTTTCAAGTTAGCAGGGCAATGGTGCGATTAAGTACACTGTTATTCATAAGTTCAGCTAAGTTAAAGTAAGCGGTGAGAATGGGGTTTATAGCTATGCTCACTTTAACGAAGAAGTAGAAGCACGGTGGAACAGTGATGAATTATCGTTGGTGTGTGCTGTGAATGCCGTATTTTATGTTAACTGCAGGCTATCCGTGTCCGAAGCTAAACCAGAGTCGGTTCGATCGTCTCTTGTCCGAGGTGAGCGAGAATTAACAGGTATGTGGAACCACCAGGCAGTCCGTCGTGTGTTATTATTTATTTCCCCTGGTCATTCGTTCTGAGCGCTAGCATATCTCGACTAACTCATCAGTAAGAAAACACGGTTGCAAAGAGATCTCTTCGGTAACTCACATCCGGCAAATACGTTTACAAGCACAATTGGGGTACGAGTGAGCTAATGAAAGCTGAAGAGCAAGTAGGAGAGAGTCTGAATTTATTCCGACGGAAGTTAAATTGATCGGGCCAAGTGGTAAAGCCTGTGTTGTCGATGAAAGCTGACATTATTTGACCCCACTTGACACAGTTCGCTGACCACTTCGCGAAGCAAATTGGGTCAGCCAAGAAGTGATGCCACCTTTGGTCTCATCAATGTTCCATGCGGATGGATCCTTATCACTGCCACGGCAGCGTGAGAGATTACAGTAGCATCCTCTGCTTGTAAAGCTCCGGTTGCGTTAACTTGATCGCTGTCGATTCCGCAATCTTAAGAAGGCGTCTCTTAATCTCCTTAGGTTATCGTTTTGACACGGTGTAGAAAATGTTGAAAGCATCATTGGTCAGAATTTCGTGTTCACTTTGAACCAGATGTTCAAGGATGGAACTTTTGATACTTCCGGCAGTGCCTTCTCGTAGAGACCCGGGAGAGTGCTCAGCTATTCTTGTTGACGGACGCCTGGCCGTATGTCCGAGGTATTTAGCACCACAGGTGCAAGTAAATTGATATACCACGTACGATTCGGACTTGGCCGGTAATCTGTCTTTAAGGCGCTGAGTAATAAATGGAGTGATCTCAGCAAGAACGTGTGGATTTGCAGCTGGGTATCTTCTTGTTACTGCAGCGGAAATTCTTCTTTTCAGTAGACCGAAAGCATTGTCACCCTTAAACGGAACCGTGAGAAATACATCCTTTTTGGGTACTATTATGACAGCTTCACTACGTTCACGAACAACAGCATGTTTTTTTGATAAAAGAAGAGGGATAACCGTTTGAGAGCAGCGTTGTAAATATGTGTTCTTTCTCATCTACTAGCGTCTCCGGGCTGCTGATTTTGAACGCTCGGTAATACATGCAGCGGACTAAGTTACGTTTATACCTCGGAGGCACGAAACTCAGAAAGTGCGTGTATTGTCCAACCCAAGAATTCTTCCGGAAGACCATTCTCTCAAGAGAGCTGTCTTCCCGTCTCACCAGTAGTGCGTCCAGGAACGACGGCTTTCCTTCTTTTCGGTTTCTTTAATAAACTTCAACGAGTGTGTGCACCATTGAGTTGATCGAGTAAACCGTCTAAATCAACGCTCGAATCATAGAGAACGAACGTGTCACACATATATCTGCAGTAGAAATCCAGTGAAGCAATAACAGGTTGGATAGG